AGAAGGGGGTATGCTCGGCGTGTCTGAGAAACAGCGAGGAAGCCAGGTGCTTGGAGTGGGATGCACCAGGGAGAGGGTAACAGGAGATGAGGCCAGGAGGTAAATGGAGCTGGATCGTGTAGCACCTTACACACCATCACAAGGCCCTTGGCTTTTATTCTGAGTGAGCCGGCACGGCGTGGAAAGGGTTTGAGAATGCAGAGGAGTGACAGGGTCTGAGGTGAGCTTTGACAAGATGGCTGGGGCTGCTGGGTTGAGAATGAACTGGAGCGGGTATGTGGGGGGAGCTAGGAGACTGATCCCTCGGCAGGTAGGGAAACCAGGTGAGAGGCGATTGTGCCTTGGGCAGGGTCAGATCCGGGAGGTGGTTCAGAGCGGTCAGAACTGGATCTGTTCTGAAAACGTAAGTGTGGGGTAGGGTTTGCTGGAGAACCGGTGTGGGCGTGGGTGAATGGGAGGATGGCACCAGGTCCGTGGCCTGAGCAACAGGAAGAATGGAGTTGGCGCTTTTCATGGGGCAAGACAAGATGGGGGCAGGCTTGAGAGAGGAAACGAGGAATTCCGCGTTCTGGGCTAACAGGTTAGGTTTGCATCATTAGACATCCAGGTGATGCCGTTCAGTAAAGAGTTTAATAGATGAGTCTGCATTTCAGGAAGAGGTCCATCTGGAAGTAGAAATTTAGGAGACATCAGCATAGAGGGAGTGTTTAAAGCCGCTAAACTGGATGAGATGCCCAAGTGAATGCTGATAGAAAAGAGAAGAGGTTGGAATATTTAACACAGAGATCTTTTTTTGTGTCAGTAGTTTTTAAAAGTGGAGTTCTTGGTACTATTAAAACACTAGGTTGAGAAGCAGAAATAATTAGATTTTTTATTTATTTTTGTTTAAGTAGCAAAAAGAATTTCTGTTAAATAAAAGAAAAGCCCAAGACCTTGAGCCCTGGGCTCCTGCGAAGCGTCCAGTCTGCAGAGGGAGGAAGCTGCAGAAGGAGCGGAGGGGCCGAGTGAGGGCGGGAGAGACAGGCAGGGCGGCCCAGGGGTCAGGGCAGCGCTGGGCAGAGCCACAGAGAGGCTGGATGAGGCGAGAACCGGCCTTCCCCTTAACAGGGAGGCGGCCTGCTGAGCTGGGAAACCCTTCCGTAGAGTGGTAGAGTGGTAGGGCAGCGTGGGGCTGGAGCATCAGGAGGAGCGGGGAAGGGCTCTGGGACGGGGCAGCGGGGGCTCTGCTGCGGAAGCTTCCCTGCAAGGGGAGGAGAGAGAGGCGGGCACAGTGTGGGCTGAGGAGGGTGGGGGGGGGAGGGTTTTTGAGTGCAGAATCCTAGATTTTAATGATTTTCTTCTCAAGCTTCTTACATTTTTTAATTATAAAATATAACTTAACATTCACTAAATCATTTTTAAGTGTGCCGTTTAGTAGTAGTTCAGTCTGTTTTGTGCCGCTGTGAAGGAATGCCTGAGGCTGGGTAATTTATAAAGAAAAGAGGCGTATTTGGCTCACAGTTCTGCACGCTGCACGGGAGCATGGCGCAGGCACCTGCTCGGCTCTGGGGAGCGCCTCAGGCTGCTCTGGCAATGGGGAGCAGAGTCCTGGGGAGGCGCAGACATCATGTGCAGGAGAGGAAGCGAGACAGGGGAGGGAGGTGCCGGGCTCTTCATAACAGCCAGCTCTCTTGAGGGAAATCAGAGGCGGGGAGTAACAGAGACAGAACTCACCCCAAGAGAGTGCATTAATCTGTTCACGAGGGGTCCATCCCCATGACCCGAGCACCTCTCAGTGGGCCCCACCTGCAGTATTGAGGATCAGATTTCCACATGAGATTTGGATGGGACAGACTTCCAAAGTATAGCAAGTAGTGTCAACTGTGTTCACATTGTCGTGCAACAGATCTCCAAAACGTCTTCATCTTGCAGAGCTAAAACTCTGTAACCATAAACAGCTCCCCATTCCCCGCTTTTCCCAGCCCCTGGCAATCACCATTTACTGTCTCTGCGATTTTGACTCTTCTAGGTCCCTCATGTAAGTGGAATCATACCGTCTTTGTCCGTTAGTGACTGGATTATTCCACTTACTGTAGTGTCCTCAAGGTTCATCCCTGTGGTAGCATGCGTCAGCGTTTCCTTCCTTTTGAATGCTGAATGAAATCCCACCGTACGTGTGTACCACACTCTGTTCATGCGTCCGCTGACGGACACGGGGTTGCTTCCACCCCTTGGCTACTGTGCGTAATTGCTTCTGTGAATGTGGGTGTGCAAACATCTCTTCCAGTCCTTGTTTTTACTTCTTTGGAGATACAGGTGCACACACGCACACACACACCCCAGAGGTGAAATTGCTGGAACATACGGCAATTCTGTGTTTCATTTTTTGAGGAACCGCCGTACTGTTTTCCACAGCAGCTGCACCATTTTACATTCCCACCAGCAGGGCACAAGGGTTTCGATTTCTCCACATCCTCACCAACACTTTCCTGTGTTTTTAGTAGTAGCCACGCATACGGGTGTGAAGTCGTGAGAGGGATTTCAGTCTTTCTTTTTTTAAATGTATTTTTATTTTAATTTATTTATTTTCTATAAACAAAACACTTCTGTGTTGACTGAAATCATAGATTTGTAAGAAAAGAATCAGTAGGTAAAACACTTAGGCTTTGGGCTGCCACAGTGAGTGCTTGATAACACTGCTGTCACTGTAAGAAAGAGGTTGACGGCGGCTGGAGCTGAGGGTGCAGGTGGGGCTCAAGGAGCCCGGCGGGCGTAGGGATGGCAAGTTGGTCCTTCTGGCTGCAGCACAAGGACAGGGCAGGCAGGAGGTGTAGAGGGCCTTCCACGCGACACAGAGAGGCTTATTAGATTTTATCCTGAAATGGTGGAGGCAAATAAGGAGTTTCAATAAGAAAGACACAGCTCTTTCTGTTAGAAAATTCATTTGGCATTGATGTGATTAATGGATTTGGGGGTGGGAAATCAATATAGAAGTGGAAGAAACAAAGTTGTTGATGTAATTCAGGAGAGAAATGAGGGGTCTGAGATAAGGTGTCGTGGGGATAGAAGGAACAAGATCTGGCATTCAATTAGCTGCAGAGTGAGCGAGTGGTCGCAGGCGACACTGTTTCTGGCTTGGGCTTCGTTTTGGATGGTTGGTGCCGTTCATTATGGGATGCTGGTTTGAGTTAAGGTGAAAAGGAATTCATGTTTGAATTTGTACAGGGTCTGAGGTTCTCAGTAGACACCAACATAGAGATGTTTGGTAGCTAATTAGGTACACAAATCTGGAGCTCAGGAAAGAGTTCATTAGGCAGTAAACACAGTAATTCTGGATACCATGTCTAGTTACCTATTTAAAAACGTATTATGTATCGTTTGGTGTGAAGACTTATTTTTTTTGCTTTTGTGGAACCATTTTCCATGTTGTGAGAGTGGAAACCGCTGACAGAATTTTAAGTGAACCCAAAAGACCATGCTGTGGGCTTTCAGAGAAGCAGTTTACTGCTCAGCTGAAAACTGAAATCTCGGTTTTTCCCCTGTTTTTTTGGTGGGGGTTGGAGGATGTGTTTATTCATTTCTTTATTCCTGTTTTCTAAGAGAAAATTTCTCTTGTTAAGACAGTTGCACAGTTAGAATCTGTGAAATCATACTAATTTTAAATTCATTAATGTTTACCCAGTATCTAGGAGTAACCTTTTAAGCAGTAAAATATTTTAGTCCATTTCATTAAGTAGATAAATTATCAAGTGTCTCATAGCTTGAAATAATTTATGACTTCCGGCCCAGGAAGTTGTACATGGTAAAAGCAGAGAACTGAAAGATGACCAAGTCTTTGTTTCATCTATTTTTGCCACTTACTCTCCATGGGATTTGGACAGATCACCTTTCTAACCCCGGTTTAGTCACCCAGACAATGCACACGTTAACTCTCTGTTCACCTCCGGGGCTCGCTCATTCCTTCATTGGACCAGCATGTACAGGAGGCAGCGTTCAGGGCTGGGCCAAACGCTGGGCGGGCAGACGTGGCCCCTGCACAGTCGGGCCCCACGGAGTCACAGCCTCGCGGATCGTTGCAGAGTCCAGAAGGTGGCTCTGAGGGCAGCGTACAAACTGTAAAGCACGGTGACAACTTCAGGGTTCCCCTTGCTGGGTGAAGTTTTCATCCTGGAGTGTTCAGGTTCTCTTTCTCATTTGAACAATAAATGGATAGAAAATGAAAATAGAAAGAATCAGTAGGTAATCTGTCAGAGAAGTCAAAGTGTAGATGTGCCTTGTACACTCGGAGTAGGCAGCTGTTAATATTCGTTGAATGAGTAAAGGAATGATGTTAGGTTTTGGAAATTCGGTGTAAGCAGATACTGATTCTTGTTAAACTTTCAGAAATGTTCCACACATTTTAAGAAAAGTGGGAGTTATAGCGGGCACTCACAAGACTGTAGAGGTGACGCAGGCAGGAAAATTTAACTGAATTCAAAATACCAATTTTTAGAGAGCACCAGTGTCAGCACTGTATACCTAGATTTCAAAATGTTAATTAGAATAATTTAAAATCATTGGAAAGTGTTAGGCACAATGTGAGATCCCTAATGTTTTTGATAGTGAATGAGATAAAATCCTAAATTTAAAGGCCAACGTGATCTATTAAATTACCTGTGGGAATAAAAGGAAAGTTTAGTTGCTGAGATTGTTTATACTTAAAGCATGCAAAAGGAGAACTTAATTTGTTTCCAAAAAAGTTGGATTTAGTGGGAAACAACTGGAATGATAGCTCATGCAGCAATAAAGATTCTGTACTATCTGGGATATTTTAAAATTCTACAACTTGGGGTCAATTTCAGATTTATATGAATATCTCTAATAAATTTTGAAAATTCTAAGGCCTTGGTCTGTGATGTTTTATTTTCATACTCCTTTGCACAAAATCGCGCGTGTTGACAGGAGTAAGACCGGTGGGGATGTGTGAGGGCAGTGTCCTCAGCTTCCCGACAGATGGCTTTCTCCGTTCGTTTCCTCTGCAGGCAAACATGCCGAAGACATATTCGGTGAGTTGTTTAATGAGGCTAACAACTTCTACATCAGAGCAAATTCTCTTCAAGACAGAATTGATCGCCTCGCTGTCAAAGTTACCCAGCTGGATTCAACAGTGGAAGAGGGTAGGTAATTGCATGAAAGTAACGAGCTAGAAGCGATGTTGACAAGATGGTAGCAATTAATTGCAGTGTAATTACTGTTGCTTCCTTGGGGTAGGATGCTGGTACTTCGTCTTGTCTTTTCCTAGAAGAGTAGTGAGGGGGAAACCCCACAACTTTGGGTTAATTAGTGATAAAAAGATTCATATCTTGTCTACCTCATACTCCATACGCTTTTTAAAAAAAAAATAACAAGTATAGTGTTTGTTTTAAAGACTTCTTCAAATGCATTCAGTATTAGAAGTCGTAGTTTAAGTTACTGGCAGTCATTTTAAAAATACTTTCTTACCTAAGAATCACAGAATCACTTCAAAGCCATGTTCCTCCAACCAAGAGGGAGGGTCATACACACATTGTGTGACAGAGCACAGGCTTCAGCCTGACACTCGTGTTTGGGTTGATAAATAATCACCGTGATTCTGCTGATTTAAAATTTTCATTTACCTTCTCAGAAATAGCATTTACTGAAGGCCTTTAGGCTTCAGGTTTTCAAATAATGTTAATATTGACAAGCGTTGTGTAGTTAACTGATGATACCCCTGAAATTGTGTCAGTTTCAATAAAATTAAAACTATCAATAATTCCTTTTTAAAAATTTTACTTTTGGTATCTTTAATGAAAGACTTGAGGTTAGGCTGGAAAAAATACGCTAAAAAAGTACAAGATATACCAATTCATATTTACTTTGAGAAAAATATTAAGGTTAAAATTTATTTTTACCTCCAAATAATGGTAGTTATAATTTCCCTTGCTGCTTTAAAAAGACCCCAACATTTGATTTTTGTACTACTTCCGTGTAGTAATATTGGTAAAAAATAAAGCTTTTACTTTTTTAAAAAAATTAGTCATTTGTGGAATGCATCCCTCATCATTTTAAAAAGATATGTTTGCTCATGTTCAGATCTTTTTCAAAGGTCAAAATTAAATCAGTGAATTACAAATAGAATAAAAATGTAGAACATTGAAATTTTAATATTCATTATGAACATTCTTACTGATTTTCAATATATAGGAAGTTAAAAAAACATGCTCTTTTTATTTCTATTTTAAAAATTTTGTTTTTCATTTAAAAAGTAAAACTTTGAATAACTACCTGGTCTATTCAGATAAAGAATTCTTAACATTTTAAACATTGACTTTTCAAATTGGTATCACAAGTGATTTTTAATATTTATTCATCTTCCTTCAGCTTTTTTTGGCTCTTGCAATTGGAATGCCTGTGATAAATCTTACCCTGAAAAAGGTGACTCTATAGATTAAATTTTATGGGATTTTTCAGTACATGTCATATCTTTAAAATCCCTTTCGGATCAAGATTTTACCTTATTTCCTTGGCGTGGATGTTAGAGTAGAAAAAACGGTTGACTGAAAGTTAGGAAATCTGTGTTCTATTTTGGGCTTGCCACTTTTTTGCTGGTAGATACCGGAAACTTAACATCCCTGAATCTCAGCTGCAGTGGCTGAGTTAGATGGGTTAATAGGACCAGTTTGCCCACCTCCAAAAGTCTGTGTTAAAGTCAGATGAGTTGATAAATGAAATGTAGAGTACTGTACACACACAAGAAAGAACGAGGCTCAGCAGTGATTTCCTGACTCCTTATTATAATTTTGTATCATAGATTAATTTCTAGGACTGTATGTGTGTTGAAAAGCTTTGCCATCTTTTCTTAATGTTATAATCGTTTCAGAAAAACTTCATATATTATTTACACTTGGGTAATCTTTGCAGAAGTATTTCCCACGTGTATTATATTTAAGCTAATATTAACTGTTTGAATGGTGTTTTCCTTAGGATACTCAAATATATATTTACACGCCCATTATACTCATAACTGTATTCCTGTGTGGCTTCTGGGAAGTACTATTTAAATAAAGAAGGATGCTCTAATATTAGGTTCAATGAAATAATTAGATTGCTGTAAAAGAAAAAAAGCCATGATTTGACCTAATTTCAGAGATAACTTATCTATAAGAGGGAGGGAATGCACATGCTATTTAAGCATGGTTTTAAATGAATGATAACAGTATTTGTTTATTCTAGGAGTTGTTTATGATTGTGTGTCAAATGATACTTATTTCTAAACAGTAAAAATTTTTTCTATATAACTCAACTCGGGGGGACTTTTCTCTAAATAGTGTCACTACAGGATATCAACATGAAAAAAGCTTTCAAAAGTTCCACAGTCCAAGACCAGCAGGTGGTTTCAAAGAACAGCATTCCTAATCCTGTTGCTGACATTTACAACCAGAGTGATAAACCGCCACCTCTGAACATCCTGACGCCATACAGGTACGGCCTCATGTGTGCCCAGAGCCTTTCAGTAGAGGTTGGGGGAGAGGCAGGCAGAGCTGGGAACGTGCTGATGCATTGTGTGGGAACGTTCTTGATGGCTCATCTGGGTTGAAATCAAGAATTTTTTCAAACTTTGAAAATAATAATTGCATTATTATACATAACGAAATTAGTAATTGGTACAGAATTATTGAAGTTTTAGTATTTCAAAATGTAGATACATTTACCTAGTGAAGCATGAGCTCTCTAGGTAAATGGTAGATGTATCTGTCTTAAGTAGAAGTGAGTATATTACATAACAGTATTATGTGTGGTTATGTTCTTGTTTCTCATATTCAAAGTCACTGTGAAAGGGAACCGCATGATTCATTTATAATGCTGCAAAATACCTGTCTCAGCATTTCGGCATTGCAGAGACATTTGTTATTTAATTCAGAAAAATGTATTCTGCAGTGTTAAGGGTTTTTAAAAGTGAAAATATAGTCAGCAAATTAACCTTCTGTTATTGTAAAATGGTGGGACACATTATCACATATCATATAAATATACCAAAAAGTTAATATGAAGAGACTACCTAAAACTGCTTTGTAAAAACACCTATCCTGCCTCCTTCCACATCAGTGCTTTCTTCCCATGTCTGCTGACCCCTCCTGTCCTGTCTCCTTTCTCACATACTGTCTCATCATCCCTGTGGCATGTCCTGTCGTCTCCCCATCTCTATGCCTTCCTGTCGAGCTCACCCTTCAGCCTCTGACAGCACAAGCTGTGGTGGCCTGTGGTCCTCACTGCCCCAGGGCCAGCTCTGCTGGTGATACTCCTGTGAGTTCTTCCTTTTGTGACTGCCCTTCATGGTCCTGCCCTCGGGGGATGATAGAAATTTTATTAACAACATTATTGTGAAAAAGAGAATTTGTTTCCCTAAGATACTAAGGCCTTGAATATAGGCAAGGGTATAAAAAAGCCATAAAATTAAAAATGTACAAAATACACATTCCTTTTTTTATAAATGGAGTTAGTACTTTAATGATGGCAGGAACTCACTTAAGTAAACAAGTGTTAACCTTGATAGAAGCATATAAGTAGCTACATCCTATGTCTGTAGCATCTAAACACTTAAGTTGTCAGTCACTTTGTACTTCCTGTAATAAAGCAATGTCGTGTCTTATGTAAGTTCAAATGCAAAAGTTTGAGTTTTTATTGGTCCGAATTCCTGGCCTTTCTCAGGGTCCACAAGGAGATGCCTGGAGTGACCCTTTATTGCAGCTCTGCTAGTAAAGCACTATTCACACTGTATCCCTTTCTTTCTGCACGGACAGAGAGATTGTCTCAAAACAACGTAAGCGACCACATGGAAACTGTGATGGGAGAGGAGCAAGATGCCATGCCTTTTTGTGGAACAAGCTTACTTCTCTGAAGGTTTTAGCACACTCATTTAAAAAATTAATGATATGTGTGAATAGTAGCATTGTGAGCCTCTTTTAACTTTTGACTTTGCTTTTGTTCAATAGGCATTTTTCTGGGGCACTTTCAGTTGGATTTAGCATTGGGAGCGTCAGCATATACATACTATAGTGTGAGACTTTGCTCATTAAACTTTTCCTACCTGGCATTACTAAGAAACCTCACTAAAAATTCTGTTCTAAAGGGGAAAAAACCCAGAAAACTCAATAAACTACTAACAGTTGATTAATCAAGATCATGATGAAGTATTTGGTTGTGGTAATTGTAAAATTTTAATTGCATGAAGAAATGATTCGACCTTCGTATATATTGTGTGTGTGTATTTTCAGTCTTATGGAAAATAAAGCATGCCTGACTTTTTAACAGTGCATTTAAGAATAGCAGTGCCAGACCAAATCTGCTTTTCCTTAATATAACAATATCTGGGGTATATAAAACATACAAACTTTTGCACTTAAGTGAGTTCCTGCCATCATTGAAGTACTAACTCCATTTATAAAAAAAGGAATGTGTATTTTGTACATTTTTAATTTTATGGCTTTTTTATACCCTTGCCTATATTCAAGGCCTTAGTATCTTAGGGAAACAGATTCTCTTTTTCACAATAATGTTGTTAATAAAATTTGTATCATGCAGCTTGCTTATTAATTAGAAAGGAAAGATTTTAAATAATTAAAGGTTGAAGTATGGAGTTACACTGGCTTGTTAGTGATTTTCAGACACAGTGACTAGAATAGTCCTGTAGAAACCTGGGCCTTAGTATTGGATGGTGAGGAGCTTACCAGGAGGTGGCATCTCAGGGGCTTTAAGGACAAACCTTTTTTTGTTTTTTCTCTTGAATAATTCAGTGAGCTTTCTTTGACAGCTGGGGCATAAACTCTTCCCTGTACTCATTTAACTGGTTTTGCTTCCCCTTAGTGCCTTAAATGACTTGTTGAAATACTACTATGAAATGTAAATGTTCTACTTTTCTCTTGAAGGAAGTGTACAGGCCAAATACTATTTTAAACCATTAATAGAATAGAGTGTTTACTTTGTATCAACACTACTGTTGATTTATATGACAACTTTGTATTCCTGTTAGCTGCATTATTGGTTTTATGACAAATCAGTAACTTATATAAAGACTTGAAATTCTTTAGACTTTAGTAACTGTAGCAGTACTTTAAATGAAGTGGCTACAAGTGAATGAGCTTTCTTTGTAGGTTACTTCCACTCTGAAAATACATAGTTCATCATTGTTTTTCCTAGTCACATTTACTATGAACATTTTACTTCTTTTCTTACTGGATTAATGGATGTTGGGCAAACCTTATCGAGAAAAAGGGATAGAGTACTTACTAATTTGTATCCTAATAATATTGAAGCTCTAGAGTAGAAGTGAATGTATTAATATATAAGGATACGTCCATCTGTGTATAGCCCCCTGTAGGAATAAACAAGACATTTCCTGAAATAATTGAAGTATTAAAACTTGATCTTTATGGGCCATAGTGTGATTTTTTTCAGAGCGGTTTTCTATACTTAATTCTAAGTAAGCAAGAGTACTTTTAACCTAATTATTCTAGAATAGGTTGCTGTTCTTGCACGTTTTCACATTTTTTCAAATAAGGAAATTTAGAGACTTAATAAAACATAGGATAGTTAAGATGCCCTGTGTATATGCTACAATCCCATGAGGTAAAATTAAATTAATATTCACCTACATATGAAAGTATCTAACAATCTTTTTTTTTCCTGACTGGTAATACATTGATTCTCAGGGATGATAAGAAGGATGGGCTGAAGTTCTATACTGATCCTTCCTATTTCTTTGACCTCTGGAAAGAAAAAATGCTACAAGACACAGAAGACAAGAGGAAAGAGAAAAGGCGTCAAAAGGTAAGTAATTTCAGTGTGGGAAATGTGCATATGTGTAAATGGGATTCTTGTTTAGAAATAAATCAGTAAATTATTTAAATGGTTGAGATGTTGCCTTTAGTGCTGAAGTTTTTTTGGAGGTTGCATTTTTCGCATGAAGATCCTGACAATTCAGTCTAACACAGTAATACTGTTTTTCAATAAATACTATCTGATTTGTTCTCCTAGCACTTGCTTTGCTTTAACAAAAGTGGTGGCTAAAATTTCAGTTTTGTTTGTAACCATGTTTTATCATTTTTCTCCTTCTGCTTTCTTAGATTTTCATAAAGCAGTCGACAAACACAGTGATGTGCTTTGTCTTTTTAACATTCTTAATCATTGGGTTGCCACCCACCTGTAATTAAGACTTGGGCGAGGTGTTCTCTGCAGTTGAGAAGCTTGTGTGATCCGCATGGCATGTTCGTGGATAGTATTTACTGAAAACGAACCTCCCTTTCAGGAAGTGTAAGGGTAGACAAGAAAATTGTAAATTTGAAGGTGGAGAAACAAGCACTCTTGGGAGGAAAGCCCGCTCTACTGAGGCTTTGAAAACTGTCCCTTTGGGGTCTAGAAATTAAGCCACTGAAAAGAATAATCCTCTAAGAGCAAGTATTTACTACTATTTTCATATGTCAGCTGTGTCGTAAAATGATCATCTAGTTTGCTCGACAAGTATTAGAATGCTTCAGTTAGGAGAGATGCTTAGCATTTTGTGGGTTGATGGCCTCAGGTTTTGAGGCTTGTAGGTGTGTTGCCCAGTAGGAGTGATAGTTTGGAATGGGAGAGAACTGAAATTTGAAACAGGATTTAAGGAAAGGAAACATAAGAACAGACTGCGGGTGTAAGATATTACTACCACTAGATTCTGGGAAAGGATTCCAAGGACTTGGTTATTTAACCCACTCTTTCTGTGCTCATGGCTTGGGGAGATTTAATTGGGAAATCTTGGAAAAGTTGTGGAGTTTACAAAGCATTCAAGTGAAGAAAGGAAGTTACTGATCTTCTGAACATAAAAGAAACTGATATTTAAGCCACGTTTGTCTTAAATACAACCACACTTTTTATAGTTACAGGGCAAAATGCCAGGTCTTTTAAGAGTACCTTCCTTTAAAACTTGCCTGTGCTCTTAAAAGGCCTTCTAGGGTTTCCTTCTTAGACATACTTTTGGCAAAAATATTTAATTTTTTTTTTTTTGCTGTTCTCCTTGAAGGGAAAACAGCTTTATGCATGACTATTGTGTCTGTAAAACCATTTGTCATTTCCTTGACTACTTTATCTCATTCCACATTCCTCGTTCCTGAGACACATAAAATTCTGATAAGCATTTCTCATTCGTTCATTTATGTAATGATTCTTTGTTAAACGTCTTCTAAATGCCTGATAGGCAGCGGTGGGAAAAAACAAGATTAGCACCCTCACGGAGATTACGGGATAGTGGGAACACCGGCATTAAATACTCACCCAGCCCTCTGACACGCAGTTTCAAAATGTTAACCGAAGTCTGCTTCATGTAGGAGTAAAAAATGAGGCAAGATAGTCTTCGTTTCCCAGGATTTCAAAAACCCAAGTCATGTTCAATTTGCAGTTGACAAATCTGAAGGAAAAATTAGTTTAGAAAATATGGGCATAAAAAAATCCATGTCTTTGAACTTTGTTTCCTTTATTTGATGCCGTAAAAACATTAAAAATTATGCAAATAAATATGAAGTTTTAAGTATGTTGTTGCACTGTTGATAAGTGTTGTGAGGAAGAGTACAGAGCACCCCGGTGAGCAGGCCTGGCAGGGTGACAGTGTGGCAGTGGAGTGTCAAGGAAGGACCCTCTGAGGGGGCGCCGTTCACACTGAGATCCGAAGGGTGCATGAGGGAGGTGGGGTGAGGCGGAGTTGCTGGGCTTGGGGAAAAATGAGGCCGGTGGGTGTGCTTCAGAATGGAGGAGCCGGGTAGGAATATCTAAGATCATCTGGGAGAGGAACCGGTTTGGCATATTCTAGGGATTTTAATGTAGACCAGTGTGCCCGGTATATAGATTCATCATTGTTAATGTTTTGTCCTGGTTGGCTCGAGCACACATGTGTGTCTGTGTGTCTCGTATGCGTGTTGATAGATTTGGAGGCTGAACCATTGTAAAGAAACTTACAGATATTGTAATACTTAATAATCTCTAATATGTCAGCATACGTATTTTAAAACATAAAGGTAATAGTTATTAATTATTTTAATATAGTGGTCCTTAATCAGGATGCATATTGGAATCTCAGTAAAATCTTCCTCACTCCCTTTATTTCTTTTGGTTTTTAGAAGTATGCAAATAATATATACTAGTTTTAAAATGCTCAGATAGCACTGAAGGAAATAAAGGCACGCCCCTCCCTGGAAGTAACTAACCACTGTTAACAGTTTGGTATGCATCTTTTTAGACCTTTCAAGCATTCATAAATATATGCATACACATTTACAAAGTATTATTCATATACATGGCCTACACACGACTCACACGCACACACACTGACGTTATTAAAGATGCACTCCATTCTTTTTAACAGAAATGCTTCATAAATTACCCATTACCGTTGCTGTTACAATACTGCAGTGGTTGTCCCTGTACTTACAAGCAGATATTTCCTCCTTTCCATGTCTTTTGTGAATTTCACGTCCATGTCCTTTGCTGATTCATTACCAAAGCCTGAGTACCTGTGAAAACAGTGCAGTTTGCCGTCTTCTCTATACCGAGTCGCCTGCCATCTTCCCACCCAGACCACCTCAGTAGCGTTTTCACTGGTGTCCCGGTCTTTACCTTTACTCTCTGCGGCGTGGAGCCTGGCCTTTGGGATCTTGCCTACCTTTTAGATCTTGGGCCGTCCACCTCAGTTCACCGTTTACCTCCTTTCCTTTCTCCTGGTGCAGTGGTGTCCCTGCTCCTCATGGCCCTGGCACAGTCTGCCCTCTCCTCCTGCCGTGCATCCGACCCACGCTCCCCTGCACAATTAATGCTGCTCCTGCTTTGTCTCTGAGTCCTGCCAGAGCACCTCCTGACTTCCAGACTGGACGGTGTTTGACATATATGCATAGATGTTTAAATATATAAATAAACTTAAATATACAGATGCAAAATATTTATATAAAAACAGATAAACATTTTAAAATATAAAATGTATGAATGTATTTCAAATATAAATACATTTACATTGTACCACGGTTTATAATTGTACATTCGTTTGTGTCCTCTTGTAGGCTTCCCCTCCTGCACTGCAAGCCCCATGAGGGCAGAGGCCATGTCTGTTTTTGTTTGTTTGCCATTTGTGTCATCAGTGCCTGGAACATAACTAAGTACTAGAAGCTCATGCTTGTAGCTTGACTGTGGATTTGATCATTTAGCCAGCATTTATTGAGTGTGTATTCTTCGTAAAACGGCATGTTGAGGTGCCGCAAGATAAGAGAGCAGCGTAGGAAATGAAGGCACGTAGTTCTCATCCTTAAAGACCATAAAATCTTACGAGGGAAACAGGAAAAACTTATAGATTCACGTAGAAGTAACTGTCCTTGCCTTTAAAGAAGTCCTCATGTAGGACCTAAGCACTCACCGAATTGCGTTTTTGCTGGCAGGGTAGGGCTGGCGCAAGAATGGCTCTTTGTGCACAGGTAAGTTTTTATCTTGTTCTGTGTTAAGCTAGTTGCAGGATTAGCTTAAATGTTCTATAATAATCATTTAGAAATGAGGAACAGAATATTTTGAATTATTTTCTTTGTAAGATAATTGCATGTTAACAAGTTAGTCAAAATTGTGGCGGTGAGAAATGATTTCTCTGTATGGTGTTGCCAGGTATCCCACCTGTATAATACAGATACAGAAGATCTTGTTTAGATTTAAAACCAGCTACAAGCCTAGTAAAGTAAGAATTCTTTACCAAAAACGATGGTAAGCAGCCCTTGTAGCTGTAGCACAGTTACTTTTTGTTCAGTTAGGCTGGAGAGCTAAGTTTGCATATCAGTTACTGCTGTTGGGTCAGTTGGGTGAGAGGAACATGCTGCTTTAGAATGTTCTTAACACGAGGGTGATCGAATGCAGATGTCTCTTGTCTGTACGTCAGGCTTGGTTCCCGTTCATTGCAACTGCATTTAACCGCTGTTTTCCTTTCCTTTCTGTCTCGGCATGCTTTCTTTCCTTTCCTGGACGTCAGGAGCAAAAGCGTATAGATGGCACCACCCGTGAGGTGAAAAAGGTTAGAAAAGCCAGAAACAGGCGCCAGGAGTGGAATATGATGGCATATGACAAAGAGCTTAGACCCGACAACAGGTTGTCTCAGAGTGTGTACCACGGAGCGTCTTCCGAGGGATCCCTGTCCCCAGACACTAGGTGTGTGTGTGTGTCATGGCTCCCTCAGTCCCGATGCCGGCGGCCACTGGGTCCTGCCTGGTTTTGTTATGGTTTGAAATGCACCAGTAGCTTTGGGGTTTATGTGGCCCACAATATTTTAAAGTTATTTATATTTTGTTTTTGAAATAATAATTTAAGGCAATATTATTTTACACTGGGTTCCTTTGATTTTTTTTTTTATCTCTCTAACTTAAATTTATTGTTCAGTTAATCTAGATGTAGTTTGTTTTAACATTGATTCTGAATTGGGGTAACTGCTAATGACTTAAATTTTTGTTTTAATAATCATTTAATCCTTTCTCTTTCTCTTTAGCTTCGAATGTTGAATTGCCTTTGCCACTTGGTATCTAAAAATGATTGGTAGGTGGTAACTAATGTGACTGAGGAATACCTTCGTTCCTTTCGATAACCCTTTGAAAAAGTGATGAACAAGAGAGATCTATTTCTTACTTCAGATAACTTACGTATTCTGATTTCAGGAGAAGAATTCTGTTGGAGTTTACTTTAAAAATTTGTTAGCAGTTAAGTAAAAATATTTCTTGCAGGTGTGAGTAAAGTCATCAGTAAGTCACACTTGTTACAAAAGAGATTTATTGAATGAAAAGAACAGGCTAGTCAATGTTAAATTTTCATTCATTTTCTATTTCTGCTTTTGTAGAGTAGTCTTCCACTTGCCTAAAGTCTTCCATCAGCATTTAAAAATTTGAATACAGGAATCTTAAAATATGTGATTCAAGACTGTTTAAAAACAGCAGCAGCCTGGACCTTGGGTTAAATCTGTGTCCTTTTTTTTTTTTTTTTTTTTT